GACATGGCAGGATGTGCAGAATACCCCCGTTGAAAAGCAGAGGTGCAACAGGTACTCTGAGAGAGAACTCTATCAACATCAGAGGCCCGAGACTGTTCAACACGCTTCCGCTACACATAAGGGGCATAACTGGCCGACCCCTCACAGTGTTCAAGAGAGAACTGGATAAGCACCTCCAAAGGATACCTGATCAACCAGGCTGTGACTCATACGTCAGGCTGCGAGCAGTCGCGTCCAACAGCCTGGTTGATCAGTCCAGCAACGAGGACGGGGCCGCGGGGACGCAAAGCCCCGAAAAAATCTCAAGGTAACCGTCATGCTCCATATAAATCATCCATGCTCCATATAAACCATTCATGCTCCATATAAATTATACAAGGCCTTATAAATCCTATATATATATATAGGACTTCACTAAGAGAATGGAAAGAAGGTATTTCCAATACATAATTAACGAGATCATACACAACCCAACAGGTGTGTGTCTGACACCTACAAACACATCCAACATTAGAAGCAAACCAAACACCGTGAGAACAGCAAACACGAACAAAGCAATCCAACTTAGCTTCGCGCAAACAAACCACTCACACAAACAACACAAAATACTCAACAAAAGACGCACGAACGAAGCCTCTCACAAATAAGTATATATGTGGCCCTAAATCCCAAGCCAAACACCAGCCGCTCCCAAAACAAACGAGGCAAGCAGCAGCAGCGTTACGCAGGGACAAACAGGGCCAGAGGTCGGCGTGTATGAGTGGGAGTCGTGTGGGTGGGAGAGTCCCACCACAAACAGACATCCGAACTCTGTGTTTAGTCAAAACACCCGCTCAATAGGCGGGGATATCCGGGACCCTGGGGGACGGATGCTGGGGCTGGCACTCGTGGAGATGAGAGGGGAGGGGGGAGGGTATGGGGCTGGTGGGAAGGGTATGGGGCTGGTGGGGAGGGTATGGGGCTGGTGGGGAGGATATGGGGCTGGTGGGGGAGGGTATGGGGCTGGTGGGGAGGGTATGGGACTGGTGGGGAGGATGGGGTTGGTGGGGAGGGTATGGGACTGGTGGGGAGGATGGGGTTGGTGGGGAGGGTATGGCGCTGGTGGGAAGGGTATGGGGCTGGTGGGGAGGGTATGGGGCTGGTGGGGAGGGTATGGTGCTGGTGGGGAGGATATGGGGCTGGTGGGGAGGGTATGGGGCTGGTGGGGAGGGTATGGGGCTGGTGGGGAGGATATGGGGCTGGTGGGGAGGGTATGGGGCTGGTGGGGAGGATATGGGGCTGGTGGGGAGGGTATGGGGCTGGTGGGGAGGGTATGGGGCTGGTGGGGAGGGTATGGGGCTGGTGGGGAGGGTATGGGGCTGGTGGGGAGGGTATGGGGCTGGTGGGGAGGGTATGGGGCTGGTGGGGAGGGTATGGGGCTGGTGGGGAGGTATAGGGCTGGTGGGGAGGGTATGGGGCTGGTGGGGAGGATATGGGGCTGGTGGGGAGGGTATGGGGCTGGTGGGGAGGGTATGGGGCTGGTGGGGAGGATATGGGGCTGGTGGGGGAGGGTATGGGGCTGGTGGGGAGGGTATGGGGCTGGTGGGGAGGGTATGGGGCTGGTGGGGAGAATATGGGGCTGGTGGGGAGGGTATGGGGCTGGTGGGGAGGGTATGGGGCTGGTGGGGAGGGTATGGGGCTGGTGGGGAGGGGTATGGGGCTGGTGGGGAGGATATGGGGCTGGTGGGGAGGATATGGGGCTGGTGGGGAGGGTATGGGGCTGGTGGGGAGGGTATGGGGCTGGTGGGGAGGGGTATGGGGCTGGTGGGGAGGGTATGGGGCTGGTGGGGAGAATATGGGGCTGGTGGGGAGGATATGGGGCTGGTGGGGAGGGTATGGGGCTGATGGGAGGATATGGGGCTGGTGGGGAGAGTATGGGGCTGATGGGGAGGATATGGGGCTGGTGGGGAGGGTATGGGGCTGGTGGGGAGGGTATAGGGCTGATGGGGAGGATATGGGGCTGGTGGGGAGGGTATGGTGTTGGTGGGGAGGATGGGGTTGGTGGGGAGGGTATGGGGCTGATGGGGAGGGTATGGGGCTGGTGGGGAGGGTATGGGGCTGGTGGGGAGAGTATGGGGCTGGTGGGGAGGGTATGGGGTTGGTGGGGAGGGTATGGGGCTGGTGGGGAGGATGGGGCTAGTTGGGTTAGGGGGGGGTAATATTGTGGTTGATGCTAGTTAGAATAACACACCTGTCATTAACAAAATAAACAAAGTAGAATTGACTGCTCTCCCAGTGACTGTAATCCACCAATATGCACTAAGTGATTCTCTTCCAGACAGACTTCTCCAGATATACTACAAAAAGACTTCACAAATAGATTCATCCCTAAGCCGGAAAAAAATTCCATATCAAACATAAAACTACAGATCAATTCTCGAAGTACCTGGCACAGTGTTCGAAAGAAGACACGTTGAAGTACACGGAAGTGAAACAACATTATCAGACAACTGGATATAGAATCCAGGGAAGGGCCCCCTTAGCAGCCATGGCCCTGAGCTATGAAAACACAGCTAATGCCACGAGCTCAAAATAAAGAACAAGGTATTGAAACCTTTCGACAAAGTCTGGCCCACAAGGCTGAAATACAAGATACCTGAACTAGGGCTTCCATAGAGCTTTACCCCCACACTTTACAGCTTTATAGACAACAGAACAGCTAAGCTCAGTGTCGGTAGCTACTTAAGTGACACAATCGAACTGAAAAGTGGATTACCACAGGGAAGCTGCCCGTCACACACTGCTTATCCTATGTTTTCCCACATATGTCCGTCCTTTTCACACTGACCGTCATATGTTTTCAACATATGACGTCAACAACATCGACAGTCTCCGTGGTGTAGTGGTAAGACACTCGCCTGGTGTTCCGCAAGCGCTTTGTCGTGGGTTCGTATCCTGGCCTGGGAGGATTTACTGGGCGCAAATCCTTAACTGTAGCCTCTGTTTAACTCAACAGTAAAATGTGTACTTGGTTGTAACAACGATTCTTCGCGGCGGGGATCGTATTCCAGGGACCTGCTCGAAACGCTACGCGTACTAGTGGCTGTACAAGAATGTAACAACTCTTGCATATAAAAAAAAAAAAAAATATACACAGCTGACCTGTCCCCTACTCTCAAGGGGGGGGGGAGAGGGAGTTATACCACTTATCTGGATGACGTCACGCAAATAATCTCCACCCAGGAAGTCTAAGACGATACTAGCCAACAAAATCATTGCTACAAAAGAATTCACAAATGACTTTGAAAAGTCATGGAAAGTCCGGCAGCGTCTTCCATTCTCTCCAGTACCTGTGCATAACGTCAAGAAAATTAACATGAACAAACTGCAAGCAGTGCAAAATAAGGCGCTAAGGAGAGCAGCAAAACACCGTCCACCATATGATCAGACAATCCAGGAGCTCCACGAACTCCTGAACACACAGCCACTAAACATCAGACTCCAGCACCAAGCCATCAGGGTGTGGAACACCATCCCAATGTTAGAGGACCCAATGTTAGAGGACCCAATGTTAGAGGACCCAATGTTAGAGGACCCAATGTTAGAAACATTACTCCAAGATGAGACGCCCCACTCCCACAGCTGGTGGCCCAAGATGAGACGCCCCACTCCCACAGCTGGTGGCCCAAGATGAGACGCCCCGCTCCCACAGCTGGTGGCCCAAAATGAGACGCCCCACTCCCACAGCTGGTGGCCCAAGATGAGACGCCCCACTCCCACAGCTGGTGGCCCAAGATGAGACGCCCCACTCCCACAGCTGGTGGCCCAGGAGGTTATCTTGAGGTTATCTTGATATGATTTCGGGGCTTAGCGTCCCCGCGGCCCGGTCCTCGACCAGGCCTCCTTTTTGTTACATACCTCCCAGGAAGCAGCCCCTAGCAGCTGTCTAACTCCCAGGTACCTATTTACTGTTAGGTAACATGGGCATCAGGGTGAAAAAAACACATTTTACCCATTTGTCTCCGCCTCCACCGGGGATAGAACCCGGAACCTCAGGACTACGAATCCGAGGCGCTGTCCACCCAGCTGTCAGGCGCTCCCTGTCAGGAGCCTGGATCTACCTTACAAACGCTTGCTGCTCTCTGAAAACAGTGCCATCCTAACAGCGCTTATGTAGCATACACGGGATATGCTAAGTAAGCATTATGCTAGGTCATAATGTTCACGACGTACAGGGTTTAGACAACACTGTCTCCAGCGGCTATTTTGTTTATATATTGTCGCGAGTTTTTTTTTTTTTTGTTTGTCCCCGAGACCTTGAAGATTTGTCACGTAATTCTACGGAATTCGACAACCATAGTTCGTTATTGTTAAGGTGTGATGACGGTGTGGGCATTTGGTGTAGGGTGGGGGGGGGGGAGGAGGGAGGGAGAGAGGGGAGGGGGAGAGAGAGAGAGAGAGAGAGAGAGAGAGAGAGAGAGAGAGAGAGAGAGAGAGAGAGAGAGAGAGAGAGAGAGAGAGAGAGAGAGAGGGGGGGGGGGTGTAGGTCCTTGTGTGATGAGGTAGAGATCCATCACCCATTCATCAAATGATCCACATATCTAGCACAGGAAGTAACGAGTCTGTCCCTCGTAACAAGGCTAGTTCGCTCATTAACGGATCTATACCCTCTACGATCCTGTTAACGAGGCTGAGCTAATCACACGAGCCCTGACTGGCAATTGGGTCGGGCCCAATCACCGCTGGGTGATTGGGTCCGACCAGATACACACCGACCAGGTCGACCAATGGCGGCGACCAAAGCGCCGGAAGACCGTACCTTAACCGCTCGCTTCTCTTCAAACCCGGCCCCTAATTGGGTACCTGGTTGTAAACTCACTTGCGGATCATATTCCAGGGGGGGCACTAGGGGGTTAGGCATTGAGATGGACTGTGGGAACTGTTTCGACTCACAGCTGCTGCATGGGCCACAGCTGCTGCATGGGCCACAGCTGCTGCATGGGTCACAGCTGCTGCATGGGTCACAGCTGCTGGCATGGGCCACAGCTGCTGCATGGGTCACAGCTGCTGCATGGGTCACAGCTGCTGGCATGGGTTACAGCTGCTGCATGGGTCACAGCTGCTGCATGGGTCACAGCTGCTGCATGGGTCACAGCTGCTGCATGGGTCACAGCTGCTGCATGGGTTACAGCTGCTGCATGGGTCACAGCTGCTGCATGGGTCACAGCTGCTGCATGGGTCACAGCTGCTGCATGGGTTACAGCTGCTGCATGGGTCACAGCTGCTGCATGGGTCACAGCTGCTGCATGGGTCACAGCTGCTGCATGGGTCACAGCTGCTGCATGGGTTACAGCTGCTGCATGGGTCACAGCTGCTGCATGGGTCACAGCTGCTGCATGGACCACAGCTGCTGCATGGACCACAGCTGCTGCATGGGCCACTCCTGCTACATGGACCACAGCTGCTACATGGACCACAGCTGCTACATGGACCACAGCTGCTACATGGGTCACACATGCTGCATGGACCACAGCTGCTACATGGGCCACAGCTGCTACATGGACCACAGCTGCTACATGGACCACACCTGCTACATGGACCACAGCTGCTGCATGGGTCACAGCTGCTGCATGGGTCACAGCTGCTGCATGGGTCACAGCTGCTGCATGGGTCACAGCTGCTGCATTGGTTACAGCTGCTGCATGGGTTACAGCTGCTGCATGGGTCACAGATGCTGCATGGGTCACAGCTGCTGCATGGGTCACAGCTGCTGCATGGGTCACAGCTGCTACATGGGTCACAGCTGCTACATGGACCACAGCTGCTACATGGACCACACCTGCTACATGGGTCACAGCTGCTGCATGGGCCACAGCTGCTGCATGGGTCACAGCTGCTACATGGGCCACAGCTGCTGCATGGACCACAGCTGCTGCATGGGTCACAGCTGCTGCATGGGTCACAGCTGCTGCATGGGCCACAGCTGCTACATGGGTCACAGCTGCTTCATGGGTCACAGCTGCTGCATGGACCACAGCTGCTGCATGGGTCACAGCTGCTACATGGGTCACAGCTGCTACATGGGCCACAGCTGCTACATGGGTCACAGCTGCTGCATGGACCACAGCTGCTGCATGAGTCACAGCTGCTACATGGGTCACAGCTGCTGCATGGACCACAGCTGCTGCATGGGTCACAGCTGCTGCATGGGTCACAGCTGCTGCATGGGTCACAGCTGCTGCATGGGTCACAGCTGCTACATGGACCACAGCTGCTGCATGGACCACAGCTGCTGCATGGGCCACAGCTGCTACATGGACCACAGCTGCTACATGGACCACAGCTGCTGCATGGACCACAGCTGCTGCATGGGCCACAGCTGTTACATGGACCACAGCTGCTGCATGGACCACACCTGCTGCATGGGCCACAGCTGCTGCTTGGACCACACCTGCTACATGGGCCACAGCTGCTACATGGGCCACACCTGCTACATGGACCACACCTGCTACATGGACCACAGCTGCTGCATGGACCACAGCTGCTACATGGGTCACAGCTGCTACATGGGTCACAGCTGCTACATGGGTCACAGCTGCTACATGGGTCACAGCTGCTACATGGACCACAGCTGCTACATGGGTCACACCTGCTGCATGGACCACAGCTGCTACATGGACCACACCTGCTGCATGGGCCACACCTGCTGCATGGACCACAGCTGCTACATGGGTCACACCTGCTACATGGACCACACCTGCTGCATGGGCCACAGCTGCTACATGGGCCACACCTGCTACATGGGCCACACCTGCTACATGGGCCACAGCTGCTGCTTGGACCACACCTGCTACATGGGCCACAGCTGCTACATGGGCCACACCTGCTACATGGACCACACCTGCTACATGGGCCACAGCTGCTGCATGGACCACAGCTGCTACATGGGTCACACCTGCTACATGGACCACACCTGCTACATGGACCACAGCTGCTGCTTGGACCACACCTGCTACATGGGCCACACCTGCTACATGGGCCACACCTGCTACATGGGCCACAGGCATCACAATATCACAGTGTAATAAGCCCTAAATCCGCTTGAATGGCCGAGCTCTAGCTCCCAAGCCCCCGCCTCACCAACTGGTGGCTGTGACCTCGTGCAGCGGATCACTCAGGCTGTGATGGTGAGCCACGTAACACGAGACTAAGACGGGTCCACCCGCCAGTCACGCCCCAATGGTCCCCGTACAAGATCATTACCCCACACGGTAGTGAGGGAAGGGGACGGTGAGGGGTGAGGGGACGGTGAGGGGAGGGGAAGGTGAGGGGTGAGGGGAAGGTGAGGGATGAGGGGACGGTGAGGGATGAGGGGACGGTGAGGGGTGAGGGGAGGACACAGGGAGGGGTGAGGGGACGGTGAGGGGTGAGGGGAGGGGACGGTGAGGGGTGAGGGGACGGTGAGGGGTGAGGGGAAGGTGAGGGGTGAGGGGACGGTGAGGGGTGAGGGGAAGGTGAGGGATGAGGGGACGGTGAGGGATGAGGGGACGGTGAGGGGAGGGGAGGGGACGGTGAGGGGTGAGGGGACGGTGAGGGGTGAGGGGAAGGTGAGGGGTGAGGGGACGGTGAGGGGTGAAGGGAAGGTGAGGGATGAGGGGACGGTGAGGGATGAGGGGACGGTGAGGGGAGGGGAAGGTGAGGGGTGAGGGGAGGACACGGTGAGGGCTGAGGGGAGGACACGGTGAGGGGAAGAAGATGAGGGGAATGGGATGAGGGGAGAGGCAAGGAGAAGAAGGAAGGAAGGAAGGTAAGGGGGGGGGGGGAAGGTAGGAGCTTGAGGGGAGGTGAGGGAAGCCACCAGTGTCACCTGATGATGGCCGCCACTGACTATGTTACAACGATGGGGAGAGTATACATGGGGAGAGTATACATGGGGAGAGTATACACAGAGGAGAGTATACATAGGGAGAGTATACACGGAGGAGAGTATACATAGGGAGAGTATACATGGGGAGAGTATACATGGGGAGAGTATACATGGGGAGAGTATACATGGGGAGAGTATACATGGGGAGAGTATACACGGAGGAGAGTATACACGGAGGAGAGTATACATGGAGAGAGTATACACGGAGGAGAGTATACATGGGGAGAGTATACATGGGGAGAGTATACATGGGGAGAGTATATATGGGGAGAGTATACACGGAGGAGAGTATACATGGGGAGAGTATACATGGGGAGAGTATACATGGGGAGAGTATACATGGGGAGAGTATACACGGAGGAGAGTATACATGGGGAGAGTATACACGGAGGAGAGTATACATGGGGAGAGTATACATGGGGAGAGTATACATGGGGAGAGTATATATGGGGAGAGTATACACGGAGGAGAGTATACATGGGGAGAGTATACATGGGGAGAGTATACACGGAGGAGAGTATACATGGGGAGAGTATACATGGGGAGAGTATACACGGAGGAGAGTATACATGGGGAGAGTATACATGGGGAGAGTATACACGGAGGAGAGTATACGTGGGGAGAGTATACATGAGGGTATACACGGGGGAGAGTATACATGGGGAGGGGACAGGACCAGAGGGGTATAAGGACCAGGGCTGCTGCAGGAGGTATAAGGACCAGGGCTGCTGCAGGAGGTATAAGGACCAGGGCTGCTGCAGGAGGTATAAGGACCAGGGCTGCTGCAGGACAATATAAGGACCAGGGGAGGGCTGACAGGAGGTATAAGGACCAGGGCTGCTGCAGTATAAGGACCAGGGCTGCTGCAGGAGGTATAAGGACCAGGGCTGCTGCAGGAGGTATAAGGACCAGGGCTGCTGCAGGAGGTATAAGGACCAGGGCTGCTGCAGGAGGTATAAGGACCAGGGCTGCTGCAGGAGGTATAAGGACCAGGGCTGCTGCAGGAGGTATAAGGACCAGGGCTGCTGCAGGAGGTATAAGGACCAGGGCTGCTGCAGGAGGTATAAGGACCAGGGCTGCTGCAGGAGGTATAAGGACCAGGGCTGCTGCAGGAGGTATAAGGACCAGGGCTGCTGCAGGAGGTATAAGGACCAGGGCTGCTGCAGGAGGTATAAGGACCAGGGCTGCTGCAGGAGGTATAAGGACCAGGGCTGCTGCAGGAGGTATAAGGACCAGGGCTGCTGCAGGAGGTATAAGGACCAGGGCTGCTGCAGGAGGTATAAGGACCAGGGCTGCTGCAGGAGGTATAAGGACCAGGGCTGCTGCAGGAGGTATAAGGACCAGGGCTGCTGCAGGAGGTATAAGGACCAGGGCTGCTGCAGGAGGTATAAGGACCAGGGCTGCTGCAGGAGGTATAAGGACCAGGGCTGCTGCAGGAGGTATAAGGACCAGGGCTGCTGCAGGAGGTATAAGGACCAGGGCTGCTGCAGGAGGTATAAGGACCAGGGCTGCTGCAGGAGGTATAAGGACCAGGGCTGCTGCAGGAGGTATAAGGACCAGGGCTGCTGCAGGAGGTATAAGGACCAGGGCTGCTGCAGGAGGTATAAGGACCAGGGCTGCTGCAGGAGGTATAAGGACCAGGGCTGCTGCAGGAGGTATAAGGACCAGGGCTGCTGCAGGAGGTATAAGGACCAGGGCTGCTGCAGGAGGTATAAGGACCAGGGCTGCTGCAGGAGGTATAAGGACCAGGGCTGCTGCAGGAGGTATAAGGACCAGGGCTGCTGCAGGAGGTATAAGGACCAGGGCTGCTGCAGGAGGTATAAGGACCAGGGCTGCTGCAGGAGGAGGTATAAGGACCAGGGCTGCTGCAGGAGGTATAAGGACCAGGGCTGCTGCAGGAGGTATAAGGACCAGGGCTGCTGCAGGAGGTATAAGGACCAGGGCTGCTGCAGGAGGTATAAGGACCAGGGCTGCTGCAGGAGGTATAAGGACCAGGGCTGCTGCAGGAGGTATAAGGACCAGGGCTGCTGCAGGAGGTATAAGGACCAGGGTATAAGGGCTGCAGGAGGTATAAGGACCAGGGCTGCTGCAGGAGGTATAAGGACCAGGGCTGCTGCAGGAGGTATAAGGACCAGGGCTGCTGCAGGAGGTATAAGGACCAGGGCTGCTGCAGGAGGTATAAGGACCAGGGCTGCTGCAGGAGGTATAAGGACCAGGGCTGCTGCAGGAGGTATAAGGACCAGGGCTGCTGCAGGAGGTATAAGGACCAGGGCTGCTGCAGGAGGTATAAGGACCAGGGCTGCTGCAGGAGGTATAAGGACCAGGGCTGCTGCAGGAGGTATAAGGACCAGGGCTGCTGCAGGAGGTATAAGGACCAGGGCTGCTGCAGGAGGTATAAGGACCAGGGCTGCTGCAGGAGGTATAAGGACCAGGGCTGCTGCAGGAGGTATAAGGACCAGGGCTGCTGCAGGAGGTATAAGGACCAGGGCTGCTGCAGGAGGTATAAGGACCAGGGCTGCTGCAGGAGGTATAAGGACCAGGGCTGCTGCAGGAGGTATAAGGACCAGGGCTGCTGCAGGAGGTATAAGGACCAGGGCAAGACTTGGACACGGAAGACAGTCTTGGGGGGGGGAGGAGGGGGGGGAGGTGGGGGGGGAGGTGGGGGGGGGAGGTGGGGGGGGGAGGATAGGGGGGGAGGAGGGGGGGAGGAGGGGGGGAGGAGGGGGGGAGGAGGGGGGGAGGAGGGGGGAGGAGGGGGGGAGGAGTGGGGGAGGAGGGGGGCGAGCAGGGGGGGGGCGACACCCCATATTCCCGCCCTAAAATAGTGAGAGGGACAAAGTATTGGTCTGCGTCCAGACTTATATTAGGGGAAAGTTGCAAAAGTATCTAGTAAGCAACACATAAAAGTAACTTGTGTGCAACACCCAAAAGTAACTAGTGTGCAACACCCAAAAGTAACTACCGTGCAACACCCAAAAGTAACTACCGAGCAACACCCAAAAGTAACTACCGGGCAACACCCAAAAGTAACTATCGTGCAACACACAAAAGTAACTACCGAGCAACACCCAAAAGTAACTACCGGGCAACACCCAAAAGTAACTATCGTGCAACACACAAAAGTAACTACCGAGCAACACCCAAAAGTAACTACCGAGCAACACCCAAAAGTAACTACCGAGCAACACCCAAAAGTAACTACCGAGCAACACCCAAAAGTAACTACCGTGCAACACCCAAAAGTAACTACCGAGCAACACACAAAAGTAACTACCGAGCAACACACAAAAGTAACTAGTGTGCAACACCCAAAAGTAACTACCGTGCAACACCCAAAAGTAACTACCGAGCAACACACAAAAGTAACTACCGGGCAACACACAAAAGTAACTACCGGGCAACACACAAAAGTAACTACCGAGCAACACCCAAAAGTAACTACCGAGCAACACACAAAAGTAACTACCGGGCAACACTCAAAAGTAACTACCGAGCAACACCCAAAAGTAACTACCGAGCAACACACAAAAGTAACTACCGGGCAACACACAAAAGTAACTACCGGGCAACACACAAAAGTAACTACCGAGCAACACCCACAAGTAACTACCGGGCAACACCCAAAAGTAACTACCGAGCAACACCCAAAAGTAACTACCGAGCAACACCCAAAAGTAACTACCGTGCAACACACAAAAGTAACTACCGGGCAACACCCAAAAGTAACTACCGAGCAACACCCAAAAGTAACTACCGAGCAACACACAAAAGTAACTACCGGGCAACACTCAAAAGTAACTATCGTGCAACACCCAAAAGTAACTACCGGGCAACACCCACAAGTAACTACCGGGCAACACTCAAAAGTAACTACCGGGCAACACTCAAAAGTAACTATCGTGCAACACCCAAAAGTAACTACCGAGCAACACACAAAAGTAACTACCGGGCAACACTCAAAAGTAACTATCGTGCAACACCCAAAAGTAACTACCGAGCAACACCCACAAGTAACTACCGGGCAACACCCAAAAGTAACTACCGTGCAACACCCAAAAGTAACTACCGGGCAACACCCAAAAGTAACTACCGGGCAACACCCAAAAGTAACTACCGAGCAACACCCAAAAGTAACTACCG